GTCATGTGTCACTACATCTTTTGATCGCAATACAAATTTACGCAATTTTTGAATTTCATCTCTCTTTGATATAAAATCATTACATACATTCTTTACTACAGCATTTTTATTCAAGTTTCTTATATTAGCCTTTGTCCCCTGTTAATATTAATTTATATAAAGTGATAATCTTAGATACAGGATCCTATTAGAAAGCCTAATCAGACGGACTTCGATCTCAAAAATACAGACATTATACACATACCACAATAGATTCATAATCACTTTCTGAAAGATTATATTTCTTTGAACTAAGATCAATTACCCCAATACACAACGGATCATCTTTTGATAATTTATCAACTTCTACATTGCTTAATTTTGTGAAAATGTAACCGTGTGTTGGTGTATCTTTTTTCTAAAGATTGAAGAAAAAATTAGTTTACGTAAAATTCAAAGAAACGGATAACCGATTACCTTGATTTTATTCATTAAAAGATGGATATTTTTTAAAGCTAAATCTTTCCAATTTACTTCTTCTTCAAACTTTCCTCGTAAGAACCCCATATCTTTTAATGACACTAGCTCGTTTCTAACAAATCGCATCTATAAAAAAGAGATGGATTAATAAAATTCAGAAAATCATCATTATTTTTTTGCGCAAATATCCATCCTAATCAGAAATAGCCGGCATTATTGTCTTAACATCATCATAATAAATGTAATGGAAGAGATTCTCGCTGACAATAGGTCGCTTTTTCAATTGCATTACACTTATTAATGTCTAGACGTAATATTCATCATTTTATTCTCAAAAATACGAATATCAAAGTGGTATAAATCACCTGATCTAAATTCTGCAATGATTTAAGATGGTTCTTACGATCTTTATCAACAATTTCATTTTCCGCCTTTTCTAGGATTTTCGTGAGGCAATCTAAATCTTCCTCTTCCGTTTGAATTTTGAAAAACTTCCATTTTTGCGTAATAATATTGGAAATGGTTATTTTATCCAAGGAAGAGGTTTTCAAAAAGTTATACAATGAAGCGAAGATTTCAGATGAGAGTATTGAGCTAGACATATTTGCGTCTTTCAGTAGTTGATTGTAATAAAAAATATTGTTATTATATTTGTTAATATAAAACAGAGTAATCAAAATCACTAATAAGCGATAAATAACAATAAATTCGAAATACTGCCCTTTTATATATTTTTCTTATCTCTTCCCTGAAACTCGAAATGTTAGATAGGTTAGACAGAAGCAAAAAC